TCAGATAATGCATCATGCACCTAGCCTGCCAATCCGAAACATGCATGCCACACCTTCTGTTCTCAATGATGTGGATCAGCTGAAACACGAAGGACAACCAACTAAAGCCGTGACGTTTCACAAGTCATCTTGACACCCTATCTGAAGCACTATCACTCTGTTGTCGGCTCCTTCGTCTATGGACCCCCCTTGCACAGGCTGAGACCATCCCGGGCCTGTGACCAATCTTGCTCCGCTGAGCGCTTCTGAGATGCAATCTGTGGGCTCAGGGCCGGCTGTGGGCATCCAGAGCCCAGCTTTGAATCTAATCAAACTGTGATTATTTCAAGCATGTAGAGTCTAAACCCTCATGGCCAGGGTCAAGCAGCCAGGAGCCAAATCGGGCAAATGCTCATGAATGGTGACATCAATGCCAAATGAGCTGCTTGAGATTTCGCATTCTTTGCCTCGACTTTTGTTTGCTGAAGGGCTGATTGAATCTGATGTCGCCTGCAGCCAAATCATCGCCAAGAATTCAATCAAGTGTGCATTGTAACCTCCAGCTCAGCGTCATCATTCCATGTTCTTAATCTTTCTGCAGGCAGCAGGGTTTTATCCACGTGCTACGCCTCAACCGCAGTGCTGCTACTGCCTGTGCCTCCGTTGCCTGACACGCCACATGCAAATCGTTCAATGAAACAAAACGAGCTAAAGAGAAACAGAAGAGAAACAGCACGTATGCTAAATCTGCAAAAGGTGAGATGCCAACAGTTTTTGATGACATAAACTTGAGGTACGGTCCTCACTTCGATCTGCACCCTGGGCGGCAGCAAACGCAGCTGCCACATCGCCCTGCAACCCCAAACAGATTTGACACTTGCTAAGAGAGGATGGTCCGGACTTTCATGGACATGTGGTCCAGTGAAACATCTTCCAATCAACTTCTGATCCTCGTAAAATGGAATTACTGTATATATATATATATATACACATGTCAGCAAATCACCTGTCAGTCACTTTGAGGTGAGCCAAATCTTACTTGTTTGGCTGTAAAACTGCCTCCTTGCACAAATGCACAAGGCTGCACGGAATAGTCAAACAGTCCAGAAATTGAGGCATGGCAATAAACATCAAAAACATGATAAAACCATGCAAACAAACTTTTCAAGTCACACATCATGTGGAAGAATTCACTGGCACGTGCTCAATGCTTCCTGATAACAAACTGTATGCCAATGCTAGTGGTTGGACCTGAAAAACACAAGGGCACCAGGGGATAGTTCGTTGGTCAAACACATCATTCGCGCTCCACCAATTCTCCTTGAGGCGGGCATCCTCTTCCAACGCCTGGCGCGACGGGGTAAGGCGGGTGGTCAGCCTAAAGTTCAAATCCCATTCAAGCAACCCTGGATGATACCAAAGAATATAAAAGCTTCAAAGGAATCTGCTTTTGCTTTTGGGCAGGACACCCATTTCTTCTAACGCTACTAAGCAGCATTGGTCTCTCCGTCTTCTGACAGAAGTCTTGAGGATTTGGAAGGGAGGACAATCAGTTTCCAGGCAAAACCAAGCCTTGGCTTTCTATGAGTAAGAACCATGAAAAAAAATCACCAAACTGTGCCTTTTGTTGCGACTCTTCGCAAGAAGAGATCCGCTGAACAATGTCAGACATCTGCTCCTGGAGCAGCGCTTTTGATGTTGATTTCCAAATACGATGATTTGATTGATGAGTGCTGACAATCGACCTGCACACAATCGAACTCGTGCACGATAAATTCTGCAGCGCAGGTAGATTTGCTCTTGAAAGATGTGAATCGACAATACGTTCGTAGCAACTACTGATTTGGATCCTGGTGATGGTGTCATTTTCCAACCTTCTGTAATGTTTCCGGTGTCTACCCACTGTAACAACAACAGCTACTACCACTACCACTACCACTACGACTACTACTACTACTACTACTCCTACTGCTTTAATGCTCCTGCTCCTGCTGCTGCTGCTCCTGCTACTGCTCCTGGTCCTGCTCCTGGTCCTGCTCCTGCTGCTCCTGCTCCTGCAACTTACGTCTACTACTGCTGCTGCTACTACTACTACTACTGCTACTCCTACTGCTACTGCTACTACTCCTACTACTACTACTACTACTACTACTTCTACTACTACTACTACTACCACGACGACGACGACTACTACTACTATCACTACTCCTGCTGCTCCTGCTGCTATAGTTTAACCGGCGTAGTAGTAAAGGCAGCAGCAGCAGGAGGAGGAGAAGTAGTAAATGCCGTTGTGGGAGCAGGTGGTAGTGGTAGTAGTAGTAGTAGAAGTAGTAGTAGTCGTAGTCGTGGTGGTGGTAGCAGTGGTATTGTGGTTGTGTGCTCATGGTGGTGGTAGAAGTAGTGGAAGACGACGTAGTAGTAGCAGTAGTAGCAGTAGCAGCAGCAGTCGTCGTCGTCGTCCTAGTAGTAGTAGTAGTAGTAGTAGTAGTAGTAGTAGCCTTAGTAGTAGCCGTAGTAGTAGCCGTAGCCGTAGCCGTAGCCGTAGTAGTAGTCGTAGTGGTGGTAGTAGTAGTAGTAGTGGTAGTGGTAGTGGTAGTGGTAGTAGTAGTAGTTGTTGTTGTTGCCGTGGCGGTGATTGCCTCAAGTAGTGGCAGAATGAATCTGCACATTGCCAGTGTTATCTATTGCCCTTTCATGAAACAGTGGCGGACCTGCATCACCAACATGTCGAGCTGACACTGTTCAGACCGATCATGCCAGGTGTCCTGCTAGGGCCAGCTGAAGTTGAGCAATCTCAACAACAGAAATGATATCCTTTCGCTGTTCCGTGTTAAACACAAGTTCAGAGCTCCAGACTATCATATTTCGAGGGAGAACCGCTGAACAAACAGGACACAGCAACGAAAAGCAAACCACACACAACAGATTGAGATGAGCCACACATGCTTGGGGTGTAGCTGTAAAGATTGTAAAGCGAAACAAGGCAAAATACAACAGTTGCTGTAGTTGAAACCCGCATTCGCATATACACACCTGTAAACGCATTTTCTCTCAACAATGCTCATGTTCAGTTGACGAATAAGCTGTGCGTTTGCCTGCAAAGTTTGAACCCGCCGTAGCTCAGCAGCAAGTTCGCCTGGGCGAAAGCTAGTTTTCTTCATGCCAGGCCAACCTAGCCATGGAAGAACGTCTAGTGCTGCATGCAGTTGTTCATAACATGCACTGAACTGGATAACTTGAGGCATGTGACATGTGGATTATTGTACTGCTTTGCTGAAAACATGCAACAATATCATCACATCGCATTTCATACTACATCCCATGTTCAATGCCAAGTCTAAGTGATGTTAGTCTAATCTGTGAATTTGCCTGAAGCGAAGTGAATGGTCGGTCATCTGGGAAGCGAGTCGAAACCACTCAAAAACTCTAGAGCAGTAGTAAATAATAGTAAATGCACTTACGGAGGTTTTCTGGGGATCAATGGGGAACTTGCCTCATGGTGCCAGGTGGAATCCCGGGGCAAATGGCATGAGGGTGCCTGCAGCTCGTCTCGCCAATTCCTTGTCATGGTTGAGGCGGGTGACTGTCACCTTGAATCACAATCACATACAGCATTTGAGTGTGCCCTCAGGTTGGTCAATGTACAGCTGGAAAAAAAAACAGTCAGGAGACATGGACAGTGCCAAAGCCGGTTTTGGTTTTGCTTGCGTCACTTCAACTTCCACACAGCAACCGGCCCAAGTATTGGTGGCCTCTTGCTGTCGATTCTCGAGACGCACTTGTTCATGAAGCCTTGCCTTAGTGCCAAAACAGGGCATTTTCCAACGCTGCTTGCAATGTGCTGCCAAACCAACATGGTTCGGACGCGACAACTACCTCTGTAGGCACTTTGGCAGTGCTTCCATTTTGCCAAAGCAACTGTTTGAATGTGATTTTACGCAATGCATAGTGTGTTTCCCGTGTGCAACAAAAACATGCAGACAGCACGGTTCCATAAGTTTGCATTATGTTTCTCCACTGAGTCCAAACTCCGCCACATCAACCCTGAAATCCTCGTTTTCATAGGTCATATTATCCTTCCTGTAACTTGCACAATTGACAATATTGCTGCGAGCACAAACAGTGCTTGGCTTTCGCATGCTGAAAACAACACTTGTAGAACAGCAAAGCAGTTGCATGCTTGCTAGCCGCTAGCCACTCTTACAAGCAGTGAACATGTCGATAAGCGGTTGCAACACATGCCATTCTAAAAGCGGGTTCAAAGGCGATATATTAGGTTGTATTTTCGACTTGTGAGCAGGCATAGGTCAGGACTATATCAGCTCTTTCCAGCTCGATGGCATGAAGCTCTTGCGCAGAGAACTCCTTCGACTCAAATGATACATGAAAAACAAGAAGTTTGGTTTTCAAAAGGAGGGTAGGTAGAGGTGAGGTAATGGCTAGAGTCGGCTAGAGGTAGCTAGTAAAGGGAGTCGCTAGTAGCTTAAGTAGGTACTACCGACAGGACACAGGATAGCTCAAGCTTCTTCAAGGAAGCTTCCTTGAAGAAGCGCTCGCACTATTCATTTGGTTCCTGTACTTTTAGGGAAACTTAACTTCTAGGTTCCTTTCTTCATCTTCTTCCCCCTCTCTTGTCTAACCTAAACATGTGTGCCTAACTTCGAGAGGATCCTCTTTGCAGAAGTATCAACTACATGGTTAGTTGTATTGTTCTGTGACAGCTCCACAAACATATATACAATTACCAATATATAAATAACTATCTTGACCAATCCTGCTGCTGGAACTGCTTGCGAGCATCTTCAGTGCGAGCTGTGACCTTTGGGCACAACACTGCAAACCAACAAGGAGCTCTCTGTGCGTGCTACAGCAGTTTTAGCGATGGCCTCCAACCTAATAGCAATGGCCTCCAATGGAGTCAAGGTTTCCAAACCGATAGTCCTGTTCCTTCAGTGCAAGCAGAATGCAGTTCCACGCCCGTGCACTTCTGAGCTGACAATCGGCCCCTCTTTTTGGATCTTTTAGGATTCTTTACCGTCAAACAGCTTGTCCAAATCAATGGACTTGTCTCCACCATCTGCATCAAGCAAACAGCCTCAGCACGCGGGTGGGCAACAGAATGGTGGTCCAAAAAAACATGAAACAACAAGTTGGCACAACTGGACAACGCATTGGCCATTGGCACAACACATAGCATTCACGTTGTTTGACAAATGCTGTGAAACTACAGAAGTGCCCCATCGTCGTCAGGTTTGACAAATCATCCTCTGTTGGTTTCTCACAAAACCTCGTTTGATTTTGATGGGACATCGCTGCTTTGTGCGATCATACACACAAACTCTTTGTCAATTCTGTAAGAGCTGCCAATGATCCTCAAAGTAAACACAATATGAAGCATCATTGTCATCACTACTGGCATGCCCCACAACTCCAGCACCCTAGCGCAATACAAAGCACCGTCTTTGAAAGAAGGAGGATGAAACTTCAAAGGCCAAACCACAAGAAGGCGCCACCCATCATTCGGGTACTGAAGGGGTGCAGCAGCCATTGAGCCCTTCAAAATGCTGCTTCTACGCCAAAGCAAACTGCTTCACCGCTTTACCTGAACCCTTGGAACATCAGGACATGTGCTGCTAGGCTGACATATTTAGACAACGACCGAAGCGAGAGCCTATTGCAGCCTACATTATTCTAAGCAAGCGCTATCGCTCAGCATCGTTTCTAGAAGCAGTCAGGACCACACCTTTGGCTTGTGGAGTTGTGCGGTTTCTGATCTGTCTGTACTTCGATGAGTGGGACTGAGGTAGGAGCATCACCGACAACCAGTCTCTAAATGCCGAACAGTTGCAGTATATGCGATTTGCACTCTGCGTGTTTCTTTTCAACGGTGGTCAAAAAGAACCCTTCAACACTACTGAAATGCCCCGTACGCATGAAGCCTCCTTTTCCGAAGATTGTGGAGACACAAATTAAGGCACCTCTCAACACCAGCACCCACAGCCGGTGTCTCTCTCTCTCTCTCTCTCTTTCTTTCACTCACAGGTACAACATCGAAAGAAACCAATTTGGAAACAAGTGACGCAACATTGCCTCGTCTCTGTTTCGGGCAGCCAAAGTCAGTGCTGTCGCGCCAGAATCAGCCTTTGCGTCGGCTCTGGCATTCGCAGCAATAAGCTGCCTTGCCGAGGCTGAAGTGCAGTTGGAGAGGAATAGTGGGATAACACAAGAAATGACAGAAACAAACATACAGGATTAGATAGGAATTGATAATACACAAATCCCCCACTGCTTAGGGGGTGTGTGGAGGAGGGGGGTCAATTTCTTATTTTAGATGGCTTACACCCTCTAAAAAGTAAGTTTTTTTGCACGCCGATGTCCCCGATCGAGAGCCGCCAAATGAGGAACAAAACATGTCAGTCAACGTCGGACAATGGAACGAAACAAAATCAATAATATCTACTACAGTCACAACCATCACATGGGTTGGCCTGGATTGACCTTTAGAAACATAGAAACATCATCCCATCAGATTCACTTCAGGCTATCCAAAGTATACCAGCCCACGCGTGCTTGTCAGAATTGACTGCTCTGCGGCTCTCTGCTCTTTTTTTGCGGTGCCACTACCCCTTAGGCAGCGTGTGTGCCACAATCACATTGATTGGTCTGGCGAAGGAAGGGTGCGGGTCCCGCGCAACGGAAGGGTGCGGAACCTGCACAAAGGAAAAGTGCGGAGCCCGCGCAAGGGAAGAGCGCGGAACCCGCGCAAGGGATGGGTGCGGAGCCCGCACAAAGGAAAAGCGCGGAGCCCGCGCAAGGGATGGGTGCGGAGCCCGGAAAAAAGAAAAGCGCGGAACCCGCACAAGGGAAGAGCGCGGAACCTGCGCAAGGGATGGGCACGGCAAGGGAAAAAAGGAAGGAAGGACGGACGGAAGGAGGGAAGGAGGGAAGGGGTGGAATCTGCACAAGGGAATGGCGCGGAGCCCGCGCAAGGGAAGGCGCGGCAAGGGCAGGAAGGAACGAAGGAGGGAAGGAGGCAACAATTAGATTCTACTATGAAGTGTAAGCCCCCCCCAGCCCAGCAATTAGATTCTCCTATGGAAAAAAATCTGCCTTGACTAAATCCTCCAGATTTAGTCGAGGCGGCGAGGCGGGCTGAAAAATCTAATTGTCAGGGGGCTTTACTAAAGAATCTAATTGTCGGGAGGTTTTCTATATAATCATGATGACCGAAGTCACGGTGCTGGAGTGCGATGTGGCACAATGAATGCACGGATTCATATCTGCATTTGGAAATGCATATTCTATTGCCTATTGTCATTGTTAAGCCTGCTCTAGCAAGTTGTGATCTGAATTTCTTAGCTTGCAAGTCGTGGTGCGCTTCCCTTGTCAACTATAAGGATTCACCTAGCAGCGGAATCACATGCAGCCACAAACGATCGGGCGACGTCATCCCAAATCAACCAAAACCTTGAAAACACCAAGGACAAAATCAAACTGGAAATGAAATTTCTAAAGGTTACCCCCCTCCCCCGATTTCTAAAACAAGGGGAGGGGGATATACACAAGAAACTAGCTGGCCCAAGTCCCACACACATATATTTCTAGAGAGGCCAATGGAATCTACCCAAATCGGGTCTTGGCAAGTGCGCAATCTACTTCCAAAAAAGAGCATACAACTCAACATGTTTCAAACACACATTAAGACCTTGAATGTCAGGCACCAGGTTCAAGTTTGCTGGGTCTTTCTCACTACCAACTTGCAACAATGAAATTCTCTAAACCAGGTCACAAGCTTAAAGGTGGGGGCATGTGGAGCTAAATGCTGCTTTCAGCTACCTTGCAACATCTGTGTGACCTTCTTGGGCTGCAAACATCAAAGCCTGGCCATTGTCACTTCGGCCCAGGTTCACATCTGCCTTCATCTCCTTAGATGACAAATCATGGCACCAACGAATGAAGGGAATATTTTGACCTCACCTAAGGGTCGGGACTTTAATCGGGAATTTTTATTTGCTTTATTGTTACTTTTTTGATTGTTGGTGGTCTGTGACTGTGTGGTTCTCAATGGGAAAGGCATTACAAGCAATTATTTTGTCTAGAAGAGTCATCAAAAGCAAAGAAAGCAATAATTAGAAACTCATCAAAAGAGAGATTTCAATGTAAAGGTCAAAAAAAGCGGTTTTGCCAGAAAAGTTATCAAAAGTAGCGATTGTAATGGGTAAAAATGAGAGATTGTGGCTAGTCAAGAAAAAGAGCGCCAGGGAATGCGGGGGAGGGCACAGCGCCTCCCTCGCAATGAACACAAAGTATATATAGTGCAGCGCCTCCCCCATCAATTGTCAAAAGAGAAAGTTGAATATAAAAAAGCATAAACAATAGGGACTTTACTAGACACCCCGTTGAGATTTTAATATAAATACAATAGTTAATAGATAAGTGATAAGTCATAAAAAGTAGAGATTTCGATAGAAGAGGCATCACGATAGAAATGTATTCCATTGTTTTGCTGCTGGTGCTCCTGCGTCAAGTGCTTTTTCGTATGGGCCGTTTTGCCCTAGACAGTCAGCTGAGCCCCATTCTCAAAGTGAGGGCCCTCTCTAAGGAACAGAAAGAGAGAGAGAGAGAGAAAAAAAAAACAAACAAACACAAGTTAATGCTCATAAAGAGCGGGAGGGGCGCTGAAATTAAAAAGAGCGGGAGGGGGTGCGCGGCAGGGCGGCGCCTGCCGCGCAATGAACACAAAGTGTAGCGCAGCGCCTCCCCCGCAATGAACACAAAGTATAGTGAGCATCCCGGCACTGAAACCAAAACCTCGAGAGTTGTGGGGGCGCGGGGGAGGGCTGGGTGAGTGTTCAGGTGAATCAGTGACTGAGAGAGAGGGGAAGAGTCAGGAAAGTGAGTGGTTAGATGAGTGAGTGAATGACTGCGTGAGCGCATGAGTGAAGAGAGAAAGGAATCAGTGCGACAAGAAAGAAAAAGAGAGAGAGAGAGAGAGACAAACGAAAAAAGCCAAAGCCAAAAGCCACAGAAGCCAAGAGCCACAACAGCCAAACCCACACAGAAGCCAAAGCCACAAAACCCACACAGAAGCCCAAAGCCACAAAAGCCAGGCAACCCAAAAGCCACAAAAGCCAGAAGCCACAAACGCCACAAAAGCCACCTAACCACTAAAAAAAACATACCACAAAAAAAACACCATTAAATTCCCCCTCCCCCGGCAAGGGCCTGAGATAGGACGCTGATGATCTTTGATCGCTTTGTGATACTATTTATGGTCTGGACAAATATGAAAGGACAAGAATATACAGAAATGAAAATTGCTTACGGCTTCGATCCAACATAGTTGAAGGAACACCTGCAGGAATCCTATCATATCATCAAAACGGCCAACTTGGGCTTCCAGTTCCAGCTCCAATTTTGTGCATGCAAGACACTAGCAGCTTATAAACCACATCGCTGTGTCCCGCCTTGGCAGTGCCGTGCCCAAAAAAACACTTCAACAAATTTTGGATTGCTGCCTGGTTGTGCAACTTGCTACCTGGCTTGTAGAGGTAGAGGATGATACGTGGTTGTATAATGGGCAGCCGAAGACACACTTAAGTACAACCTAGCTTCTGAAACACCAACTTTGACACATTGCGCACAATCAGTTGGTTCTATTCTCATCAATTCGCATCCTTGCCACTAGCTTGCTACTGCTAGCTAGTTTGCCTACCACCTCTTTTCCCTCAAGAAAAAACATGTTTCAACAACCCTTTTCCCAACCTGTGAGGCCAGGATCAGCGGAGTGGCCCCATCACTCCGGGCACCGTTCACAGCGGCACTGGCTGCCAGAAGCAGCTCAACCATGTCCTGGGAAGCTAATGGCATCTAAAGGCCAATTTCACAAATGTGGCAAATGACGACTCATCAAACGGTGTGGAATCTTAGGTCTTGGACTCAATTACCCACTGCTGGCAAAAGCGCTACTGGGCAAAATACCAAAGGTCTGGGTATATTTTAGCGCTACCACCCAATTGCACTGCAGTTGGCTGCAGCTGACCTTTCTACTCCAAGCTACTTGATTTGGCCTTCAAAGACACTAAAAACTCCCATCTTACAAATAGATTGAACGCGTATCAGGCGTATCAATTGGCAAGAAGTTGTTCTTACCCTGCTTGCTCGCAGTGTGTTTCATGCCTTTCAGCTCCTCTTAACTTTTTAGCTCTGAAGGTGTTTCCGCCACGGTCTTGTGTCTTCGCAAGGGGCTTGATGTTGCTGTTCAGCCTTGACGATTTCTTCGCACATCTTGGCAGCAAGTCGCCTACGTCTGCAGGTCTAGCTAGTGGCATTGCGTTTTAGCCATGTCCAGCAATGTCAATTGTCAATTCTTCCCAGGTCCCAAGTCAATGTAACAGTGCTGCTGTGATGTTGGACCGCGTTGGACCCAGAGTGCACAACAAAGCCAGGACAATGATTAGCAATCCATCACCCGAACAACCAATTTGCATCAATCTGCCTTCTCTAGTTCAACACAAAACGATCAAATGATCCGCATCGTGCCAAGACTCTATATGACCTTGCTGCGACGCTTGAAGCAAAGCAGAGGAGTTCATGCCCTGCTCATTTTTGTAGTTAACCACAGAGTTTGCTCGCACCAGTTCCTTCGCAACTTTGGCGAATCCTGCGATCAAACGTTTTCACTCAATACCACCAGATTCGATGTACGATGCACGACAGGTACTGAGCACCCTACCAAAGAAACACATTGTCCCCTTAGTCTTTGCACATCCTTCCAGTACAGTACAGGACAGTACCTGCAGCTTTCATAACTGTACCATTGCCTTCTGTCTCAGCAATCCTCGCTGTACATTGTGTTTTGATGCATTCCAATGGAGAGTCGTTCAAAGACCGTTGGCGTTGCTGGTGCCCCACGACCAAGGAACCTAGTTGAGCTGCAACGAGGAGCGGGCTGGCACCATTCTTTGCTACCTTAATCAGAAACATCAAGTCAGTGCAGCTCAACCACTCAAAAAAGACAATTTGACCATGATGGTCGTCCCTATCACCTCGCCAGTGTGATCAAGTAACTAGAAAGAAAACACATTTTTCACACAAAGACGACGAACCGCGCAACCCCCAATAGCCAAAGTTCTCTGCGTGCTGGAGAACACCTGCAATCAGTTCATAACAGTTTATATACTAATACAACAAGGCCTTGGCATCCCTTGGTGTGCCCATACTTGGGCTTTTCTGACGATCCAAGCCGGGCTAGCAAAATCTGAATGTGGTCGGTCCGCAAAGCCTTTCTGTTGCGGAGTCTGAGTTCCAGCCCAGCTGAGAGGCATGATTTGGGTCTGCGCGTTTCGCCAAAAGAAGTGCAACCATGGACTGATGACCCTCCTGGCAGGACCAATATGACAAGACAGCAAAAGCTGACAACAGCTGCCCATCGTTGGTGCGAGCCCAAAAAGAGATTAAACAACAAGAGATTGCCAGCCTCAAACAAACTAAACTCTGTCTCGCAATGTGCCTTTTTTTCCTTGCAAACGTTTGTTGATCTGGGTTCGTCTCAGAATTGAGGTCAGCCATCACACATGTTCTTTCTTGAACTCTCCATATTGAACTCACACTGATCTTTGGATGCAGTCCTGGACAGCTGCAAAAAGAGGTGTTGAATCCATAACTCCGACCTAAGCTGAAAAGTTGCTAAACACACTCAGTCAGAAAGGTAAACAATGTTTCTTATAAATTATTCACTGTTCCGGTAGCCTCAAGAAAGGGTCGCGACGTTGACCCTATAAGGTCACATTGCTGGTGGCCACCTCTGGGGCCAAAGTGGGGTTGAGATGTTTGAGACGATACAATAGCTTCTTGTTACTACTAGTAAGGCACTTGTTACTAGTAGCGATGCACTTGTTCCTAGTAGCTTCTTGTTACTACTAGCGATGCACCTGTTACTAGTAGCGATGCACTTATTGTGGAAAGAATGTTTGAGAAGGATGTTTCACGAACCTTATACACCTTGTAGTTGCAGCGCTGCTGTGATTGTGGTGGTTGATAGGAAGCATTTAATTAGTGCATCATGTGGCGACCGCTGGAGCATTGTTAAGGGTTACGACTTGAAACTGAAGTCAGCCTACTCCATTTCCGTGGTTTGCCCTCCTTTTTTGCTTGGTGCTCTTTGCTTCATTGGGTGCGCCTGGTGGCTGCAAAGCGGGGGTTCCCCGACAAGAACTGAACAGGCGTTTCAACACGGGGACTGACTAGGTTTGAGGCAAAAGTGTGAGTGCATTCACGCATTCAACCAAATGTTTAAGGAACGTTGTCTTCTGAACAGCACATGTCAAGATACGTAATTATGCTGTACCTACGAAGGTTGAACTTTGGCTGTTATCGTCTCCCCAGTCAAGGCCCGGTTTCATGATGTTTGAAGAACTGTTGTTTACACAGAAATTGTGGTTCCTTTCCAGTCTAATCCGACCATTGCATTTGGCCCCTGCCACACCGTCGAGTAAAGTAGGATGGGGTGTATGCAACTCATCAATTCTGCTCTGAGTGTACTAGAACAATCCCTGCTCAGCAGTTGCTCCACTGGTGCATCGAAATAAGAACGGTGTACTCAGTGCAGTGTTTGACTTGACTGCTTGTTGAACACAAAGCAAGCATGTGAAATGACATCGGTAAATGCCCATAGTCAGTCCATCTGACCTGTAGTTGGTTCCCAAAACACCAGCCTGAATTCACACAAGGCAAGGCACATGATTGACATTGGCCCCAGCCTGCAAGCCAAATTCTGTCTTCACAACTTGAGAACCCTTTTAGCTTATCTTGTTAAAATGACTTCATTCGGGGTGTTATACAAATTCTGGACAAAACGTTGGCACTCTGTAGTGCTGGGGTCGATCCTCTACACATGTTCGCAGTAACAACATATATATATATATATTTTTTTGTATATACATATACCTGAGAAGGAAGGGGACGAAAACCAGCCGCCATAAGAAAGATCAATATGGTCATGGGGGGTGAGTGCGAGATCCCTGAATGCTTCCCACCCCTTTTCCTATCACATCCTCCCCCGCTATGCCTATCCTGCACATGAACTCCCACTCCATTGGGGCGCCCTTTTGCGTTTGGTCAACAGGCCTCTGTTTTCCTGCCCTCAACGGGCCGCATCATTACATGAACTCGTACCCATATCAGGGCCCTTTTGCGTATAGTTAGGGGGCATCTTCATCGTAAAAAAAAAGCCCCCCCAGAAATTCAAGGATTTCTTGCAAACAGTCTTTGCCAACCACGCCCTCCTCCGCTACGCATGTCTTCCATATGAACTCCCACTCCTATGCAGTCCCCTTTTGCGTGTGGTTGACAGGCATCTTCACTACTTCAAAGCGGCACCCCCAAGATTTCTTGCAAGCCCTCTTTTCCCTCCGCTATGCCTGTCTTCCACCTTCCCCACAGCATTCTGTTCCCTCTCCACCCCTGGTCGAACACTATTTAAAGACGCGCATCTCCCTTTCCTGGAAGGGCTCCAACCACTTTTTCGCGTCCCGTTACCCCCTCTTCCCTATCATCGACATCAACTCTCACCCCTGGTCGAAGACGCTTTAGATTGCTTCCTGATCTCATTATGATGCTAATGATGCACTACTGGCCAAGTACATCACCTGCATCACAACACACCAGAAACCACTCCCAAACTCCAAGTTGTTTTCTTCGCTCTCCCCCACCAGGCTCTGGGTTCGCCCTCCGAAATTTGGCGCTGTGCAACCCCCCCCACCCCCTATACTGACTTCGTTTGCCCAACCCAACTCCAGCCTAGCCTATAGGCTTTCGTGAAATTTCTCCATATCTACATACTTGATCATGCCATGCGATGTAGGTGTACAATATAGTATATAGAATCACACATGCACGCTTATATATATATATAACATTATATAATGGATTCAATGACGTCAGACTGTCAAACCATCTCAGAATGCAAGTCTCCTGTTTTGGTGGGGCAAATCAATGACATATACAGTATTACATTGCCATTGCTTCTCTAGTAGAATCTGATCTCACAGTAGCAAGCCCCTCTTACTATACTGTTCATAAACAGTTTCCTCAAGCGACACACTTCCTCAAAGATCTTTCCTTTTTCCCAAGCGTTCCATTCCTTCGCTTTCGATTCTCGCCTGTTCCTCTTCCTGCTTCGTTTCGTCGCTTCTCTTCTTGCTTTGAAACATCTGGAATTCTAACTTGGACTTTGCAAACAAACATCAATTAGTTTTCCTATTTAATCCTTTACATGGAGATCAAACCAAACTCACACGAAGCCTCTCAAACTGACCTTCTCCAGCCCCGCAATACAATAACATACAATAACCATCAATAACCACAATCCTCTCGAATGTTCCGATATTGGGTCCCCTTCCATTCTTTTCTGAGAAACTCCAAAGCGGAATTTATGATGAGTAACGGCTCTTTCCTCTTTTTGAGAGACTGTCCTGAGATTCGCATGTTGTCTAATCTTAAGCCCTCAAAGCTTTGCACAAATGCCCTCACACCAGCTATGGAAGAAAACCTGGGAGAACCGAGTGCCTGGCCTTGACGGCCCTGAAAACGCTTAAGAATCATATTAAAGGACCCACAGGGCTTCAGCTCTGTTGTCTGTTGGCTGAACAATGATCAAATCAAGGGCGGCTTTCCGTTGGATATTGCATAAACATGCATAAACAAAGTCAAGAGATGATTTCATCATCATTTCAGCGCAGCAAACTCAGCGCCAAACCCAAGCCTCAAGGAGCACATTAGCTGCTGCTAGTTGATTGCCTTCTACAGCTGCAACTAGGGCAGTGGCACCCGCCTAGCAGCACAGCTTCGACTTCCACAACATTGCACAGCAAATCGATGTACGATCGGCACACGTCGTCATGTCAATCCGTTCCATCAAATTTCCCTGTTCTTGCTGTAAACCTTTCCCCTAGAAGAAGGTTTCAACAATTGTGAACTTATGATCGTGTTGAGGCTTGGAAGGATGCACGGCAAGCCACCCACTGCCCTTGTGCCACTGGCAATTGCTCTGCAAGCCTTCACAAAGCTACATTAATGACAATTGATACCAGGTGTTCTGTCGAAAGCTTGGAGACTCTCTCCAAGTAGGACCTGGTTCACAGAGTCCACTTGACATCTTGCTCGAACCAACCTCGGCTGACGACCAGGTGGATTCAACATGAACAGTATCATATTTATACATATTTAATCATATTTATACGATTCTATATGATTCTATATGTGTAATACATTGCAATATGATTCAATCCTCTTTGGTTTACCTGTACCTCCAAAAACTCAAGTCACTTGCTGCTCTTGAGCCTGCGAACAGAAACGTTGGGCCACTCATGCACCAAGCAACTGTGAGAGCACATCGCAGTGTGCCAAGTGTGAAGCTGCGATGATAGCACTCACACCATTCCTAGCAAACACAACCGATTAGCCTATACTGGCTTCGACCATCGACTTGTACTGTCGTCAACCGTCGACTTTTCTGACAAGTGGTACTTTACACATGCTTCACTCCAACGTTATGCAGCAAGCCAATGTTGTGTTTGATGCTGCACCGGCACCTGACGGGTAAAAGCAACGACTCGCACACAAACATAGAAATTGATTGATGCAAAAGCCACGCAAGATTCGAATTGGTGGCGTCCACATCAGCATCCGCTGCCAAAAGCACCTCCATAACCAGTGGGTCTCCACGGATAGCAGCCGCAACTGTGGCCTAGTTAGTTCAAACAGAACAACAAACAAACTCAGGCTTCTTTGGCCAGTTTGACGCCAATAGTTGTTGTTGGCCGGTGCAGCTTGTGCAGCAGCAGTAGCAGCAGCTTTTTCAAGAGCACCAAGCATTCGACACAAATATCACATCTATCAACAATCATTTAATCAACTGCAATGCCACTCACCGTTGACCAACTAAAGAAAGGTCAAAAAGTAGCTGATAGCTTGAAAGAACGAGCAAAACATATAACTTTAAATATGTGCCAACGTCCAGCCTGCAAGGACCAGGTTGTTTTTCTTGTATTCTTGCGACCATGAACATGAATGCGTAGCGAACAGCATTCTGATCTTTGGGAAACCAAGTATCAAAATGGTTAGCCATGGGTGCTTCACTTCACCAATTGTAAATGATGCTGTCAAGAAACAATCTGGCCAGTGTCATCTGGAGCGTTTACGTCTGCTCCTCAGTGACTTAAACATGATCTGACGCAATGGTGCTGAACTCGGCGTTTGACGAAAGTGACAGCTGAGATGATCTGAGGAATCTTCAAAGGCCCACTTCACGGGCCCATCCAAACTGGAACCTTAACAGCCGAAACACAAATTTAATTCCACTGAGCACACCTCAAACCCGCTTATTTTGACAAGCTGCCCGCCGCTAGGAGCTCTTGGAGTGAGTTAACCTGGAGAGTTTTCTCCCGCAAAACAAAACACTGTGGGGATTTAGCTTTGAGAAAATGGCTACACCATGTCGTACAACGGCCTGTTTTAGTGGTTATACAATCTATATATATATATCTCCCGACGGGTTCACTTTAGACAATGGGACGTTTGTGCAAATCGCCACGAATTTTAAAACAATTTTTTTGGGGGTTGACGATTATTGTGGGGCGGGGCTCCAGATAGTGTCCTTCCCGTCGGCCATCCCATTTTAATCACATGACTAATCGATTTCAATGTTGTGACATTGATGATAATGTTCACGAACCCTCCAAGATACGTATGCCTTGCTCCTGTGCAAGCGTTTGAATACTGTAGTTGATGTGTACAGATCTGATGTGCAAACATTGGAAATCAACAGGATTGGTTCTGCACCCTGTAGTATGAACACACCAGGAAGTGGTTAGCCGCTGGTAGGATCTAGGTCCTAGGTGAATGCTGTTGCAGGCACAGGGACGCGCGCAATGTGAAAGCCAAGAAGGAAAAATATACAATAATACATTATATATATATAAATGCAGGCGGGCTTGCTTAAGACCCCAATGCATTTGGTTGGTTTCCAAAATGTCTTTTCCCAAAATGGTGCACTCTTCGCAATTCCATGGGGGCCCGCTTCTAAATCTCCTTTAAACTTCAACCACAGTCAAACCACAGGGATGTTAAACATGAAGGCGTGTGAACTGCAAAAACTGTGAGAGGTGTCTAGCGCGGACTGCTGAGATGCTGGAGCTGCTGCTGCTGCTGGACTCCTGCAGTTGTTTCCACTTTTTGTTCTCAGAAATCTTCAGAACGACATAATTAGGCAGGACGTAAGAGCTGACTCAAAAGATTTGGATGTTGGATGGGCAACTGGTCAAGAAATGGACCGTCGTCTAGCGCGGATCTAGCGCCAGCCTAGCGCAAAAATCTCCGTCGATTTCTTTATCCTGTCAGATTCTTATTTTTCCTGCTTGCTTGTCGTCTTCTTGTTGTGCATTCTTCTCCTTCTTCTTCTTCTTGGCTTTTCTTTTTTTTGTTGTCTTGCTTCTTCTGTTTCCTGCTCTCTGCTTGTTTCTTATTTTTCCTGCTTGCTATCCTGTTATGAAGAAACCTAGCGCCAACCTAGCGCTGCCTTGCTGTATCACCATATTTTGGTGGGGGCCCGCTCCTAAACGAAAACTTGAGGCCAGGGGGAGAGGTCGAAAGCTAGCCGAATCGCACCGGATGTACTAGTTACATAGTCGGCAAAGCATGTAGGGATTACATGTTTTGGGAGGAAGGTTGCTATGTACATACTTTGCGCTAAAGAATGTAAATGTGACATCGCTGACTGGGAAGGGTACATTGGAACAACCCGGGTGCACTCGCTGGCAGGCACGAAGATGCGTGATCGGCAAATCTGGGGGGTAAATTTACCCTCCGCTTTTGTATGCCTTGAGTCGGAAAGATGCGTAAGCATTTCTGACATCATACGGACTGTACATACACTAGGGCGTCCGTAGTGTAGGAGAAGCACGGGTAAAAGGTATATGGAATAGAGTGTCTTGAGGAAATAGGCGGTGTATGGTTATTGCAAATCTGGGGGGTAAATTTACCCCCCGCTTATGTATGCCTTGTGCTGGAAAGAGGGGTAGGCATTTCTGGCATCACAAGGACTGTGCATACACTAGGGCGTCCGTAGTGTAGGATA